ACCCCCCCGGCCTCCTCTCCTCAGCTGGAAGCCTACCTCCCAGTGTGGTGGGGTTAGGATAGGTCAGCATGGTGTGGACCCCAGTACATGAGGTATACGTAGGTCCTACCTCTTTCTACCTGCGAGAACACTAGGGTAGCAAGCTGGTGACACCATGTCCAGGACCTGAGGATCACCAGGGAAAGAGGGGCCCTATGGTTCTATGTCTTGAAGCCCAGCTGGTATCTTAGACCAGGCTGAACTGTTTATTTCCTAACTAAATGGTTGAGTTTATGCTACCCAGGCTGCCAATGAGAGTATGCCAAGCATGGCTGTCTGAAACATTCTGAAATTTCTAAACCTGATGCTTCTTTCTCTGGCCGTAGCTTTTTAAGATTTTTTTAAGCCTTGGTACAAGCTGGCCCTCTGTTTAGGACAGGTTTCCTGTCCATCTGAACTGTTTCCAGGGTGGTTGAGAGCTAGATTCTGCTTTACACATGCCTGAGTTTGAATCCTGATGCTCAGGCAGGAGAGAGACCTCACCTCTGAGCTAAGTTTCTGTAAAACTGGCATAGTAATTGTCGCCATCTAAGGGTCTCTGCAAAAATGAAATGAAACCATCTGTTTAAGAACCCAGCATTGCCGGGCGGCGGTGGCGCACGCCTTTAATCCCGGCATCTGGGAGGCAGAGGCAGGCGGATCTCTGTGAGTTTGAGGCCAGCCTGGTCTACAGAGCAAGATCTAGGACAGGCTCCAAAGCTACACAGAGAAACCCTGTCTCAGAAAAACCAAAGGGGGAAAAAAAAAAGAACCCAGCATATCATGAACTCCATGAGCTTTAGATGCACTAGGCATTGAATCATTCCTGCATTTACTTACTTGTTACTGGGGATTGAACCTAGGGCTTTCTATATACTAGACAGGTGTTCTGCCTGTGAGCCCCCGTTCCCAGCCTTCATTTCATTTTTAAGATAGGTCCCCTCAAGTTGGCCTAGGCTGACTTTGAACTTACTATATAGCCCAGGCAGACCTCCAACCTGGCTATTCTTCTGCCTCACCTTTGAAAGAGCTGGGGTTACAGGTCTATGTCACCACCGGTTCTGACTGACTCTTCCCTTTATGGCATCAGTGGTTGTGAGCAGCAAGCAGGACCTTTCAAGGTTGCACACTGACCCCCTTCCCCAGCTTCTGGGTGTCTCTCAGAGTGGAGGTAAGGGAGTGGTACGTCTGTGGCCTCCCTCTCTCTGTAGACTGTGTAGAACATGGTGCTTGCCTCCACTGGCTGCAGGCAGATTGGCAGCCTGGGAGAGCCCTCCTTCTCCTCCTCCTCCTCCTCCTCCTCTGAGCCTAGGGAGGTGTCCTGCTTGTTCCTCTTGCTCAGGTTGCCAGTTCTGACAAACCTGTTTGCCCAGGTCTAGGTGTTCTGAACCAGGAGGCCCCTGGCCAGAGATAAGGGTTGGTCCCTGCTATAGTGACTCACTGAGGTTGGAACTCCACCAGGCCGGAGGCTGCCAGATGTGCTCTGGGAAGAGAATTCCTGGGAGAGTGACGATGGGGGTATTCTGGAACCACCCCTCCCCCTTCCACCCCTCTTCTTCCTTTGTTGTCCATTACTCTTCGTCGTCTTTCCTGCCGCGTCTCTCTTCATCTCTCCACATCTCTCTCCGCCTGTCTCACGTGTTCATCTCTTATTCAGTCCCCCTCTGTTTCTTTCTCATCTTCCCTCTATCATTTCCTCCGTGCTTCCTCCACACTCTTCCTTATCTTGCCTCGGAGGTGACTCTTCCCCTGCCCCCTACTTGTACTGTGACAGTCCTTACCCCTTGGGAGCTGTATCTACCTGTGGGGGCTGCTCCAGGCCCAAGTGCTTGGCAAAATTGAGATACTGCTGCCTCCCGCCATCTCCGGGACCTGCTGTTTGTTACTGTTAGGTCTCGGGCAGTCCACATGTTCAGAGACCCTCCTATAGTCCTATAGGGTATGTGGACTGCTTGTTGGACTGTCTGAGACCTAACAGTTATATAGATCAGTTATGAGGATATTTATATCTTCAGTCATCCATCCAGCGCGTGTTTATTAAGCATCTACACACACTAGGCCCTGTGGTAAGCAAGACAGACATGGGCCTGTTTTGTGGAGTTATGGCCTGATGAAAGATCAGAGCAAGCCAGGCAAGAGCCCGGCAGCGAGTGCTGGTCTTGGCAACACCACACAGAGGGAATAAGTGTGTCTGAGGAAAGGCAAGTCCCCCTGAGGTCACGGGTAGAGCCTGGGAGAGAGGGAGGAAGGTGTCCACAGCCCACCCCCAAGACTCAGCAAGCCTGTTAGCCCAGGTGCAGAGCAGACTGGGTCCTGAGGCCCATAGAGAGCCCAGGAGTGTTTGAGCTAGTGAGGGGCAGGACCAGGATGCTCTAGGTGGGTCTGATCTCTGTAGGTACAACGCTGTCACCGGGGAATGGCTGAAAGACGAGGTTCTGATCAAGATGGCATCTCAGGTAAGCAGAAACCTGAGCTGCGAGGGGACAGGGCCTGGTAGGGACTTTCCCAAGCCATTTCAGTGCCCTCCTCCCATTCCTGCTATCTTTAATTTTGTTTTTTATTTTCATTTATTTATTGTGTGTGCATGTGAGAGAAACAGACAGACAGAGCTGTCCTTTGCAGACCAGGCTAAGTAGTATCAAACTCGCTGTGGCTGGTCTCAAACTCCCAAGTTCCTGCCTCAGTTTCCTGCATGCATACTGTGAACCCACTTTAATTTTTATCTTTGGGGTTTTTCCTGTGTTATCATTCACATATTTTTTTCAATTGTATTTTATTTAGTGTGTGTGTGTGTGTGTGTGTGTGTGTGTGTGTGTGTGTGTGTGTGTGTGTGTTGAGGTCAGAGGACAACTTGTTTTCTTTCTTTTCTTCATACGGATCCCAGGGGTCGAGTTCATTTTTCAGGCTAAGTGTCAAAGCACTTCAACTTTCTGAGCCATCCCCTGGCACTATATTATATTTTTTAATTCTTATTAATTTTTTTATTTGTATGTGAGGGCATGCGTGCGTGCGTGAGGGCATGTGTGCTGCCGTGCACATGTGGAGGTCAGGGGACAGCCTGTGGCATTTGGTTCTCTCTTCATCGTGGGGTTTCCTGGATGCTCCCTATGTCGTGCTCCAGGCATTTTACTCAGAGCCGCCTCCCCAGCCAACATTCTGTGTTTTTAAATACTCCTTCATTAGCATGTAGCTCACATGCCACACACACTGCTCACTTCACTTACACGGTTCAGGCTTGGGCTGCAGGTCAGTGGGAGCATGCTTGCCTAGCATGCACAGGACCTTGGTATCCACCCCCGGCACTGCAAAAAGAAAGGGAAACACATGCAATTCAATGGCCTTCAGCTGTTTAACAATCACCACTCATTTCCAGAACTTCCTCCCGCTTTAAAATTTATGGTTTTAGAAGTTCATATATGCACATCTGTGTTCTGATCAGCCCACTATTCCCCCATGTTATCACCACCACCCCCCACACACCTTCATATACTCTGTTTAAATCCATAGAACTCACTCTATTATATTCATGGAGCCACACGCTGGAGCATGGACTGCCCACCAGGGGTCGAATCCCTGAGGCATGCTCACACCTTCACACGTCCTACTCCAGATCAAGCCAACCCAAATCCCAGCATGGACTGAGGATGGCCCAGGAAGACCCAGCCCTAGCTGAGGAGCTGTTTCGGAACATTTTTACCCTCCCTGGTCACCCCATTCCTCCATCACCAGAACTTTTGGGACCCCCCCCCCTGCTCACTTTCTGTAATGCAGACAGCTCAGCTTTAGGCCCTTCATATACAAAGATGTCATGAAGACGTCTCAGTGGGTCACTGCCAATGGACTGATTGCATGGCACTACCCTGGTTTTTTGTTTTTGTTTGTTTGTTTGTTCAAGCTACTAAATACATTCAGTGGCTGCAACCAGCCTCCTGCAAAGAAAAAAGAAAGCAGGACTGGAAAAAGGGGGCTCTTCCTGCTCAGTGAGGGGACCTCTTAGAATGTAACACACTCGCAGGAGAAACAGGGAAGAAGCTGTTCCTCATTGGTGTCTAAGTCCTCGGCAAGTGGGAGGTGCTGGGTTCCATCCCCACACCAAGAAGCAAGCAAAGCATACATCTTGATGAGTGTCCCGTCCCCAAGGCAGACACACTGGCACAGCGCCCAGAGAAGCAGAACATAACCAGTGTCCCCACAGGCTTCTCTCAGTCACTACTCACGCACCAAGGCTCAACACTGTCCCAAACCCTGTCCTAAGATTTTCATTTCTTCTGTCATTGCACCTTTTGAGTGTGGTTTCTTTTACTCAACATTTTCCATTTTTTAAAATAATTTTTTTTTTTTTTTTTTTTTTTTTTTGGTTTTTCGAGACAGGGTTTCTCTGTGTAGCTTTGCGCCTTTCCTGGGACTCGCTTTGTAGCCCAGGCTGGCCTCGAACTCACAGAGATCCACCTGGCTCTGCCTCCCGAGTGCTGGGACTAAAGGCGTGCGCCACCACCGCCCAGCTTAAAATAATTTTTAAAAAAAATTTATTTTATGTGCATTAGTGTTTTGGGTCTCTTGGAATTGGAATCACAGACAGTTGTGAGCTGCTTGCTGTGTGAGTGCTGGGAGTCGAACCCAGGTCCTCCGGAAGAACAGCCAGTGCCCTTAACCCTTGAGCCATCTCTCTGGCCTCAACAGTTTCCATTTTTTTCTTTGCTGAGTAAGCACTTCGTTGAATGACTAGACCTGGCGCTTTGTGTGGCAGGTTACTAGTGGTCCCTGAGGTAGCCTGCCCCTCTCCTCCCTTCTCTCCGTTCTTACTGTTTTCCTTCTTTCTGTTTCTTCATATTTTTAAGTGTGTGTGTGTGTGTGTGTGTGTGTGTGTGTGTGTGTGTGTGTGTGTGTGTGTGCGGCCCCCCCCCCATGCACAGTGCCCCCCAGAGGCCAGAGGAGGGCCCTGGAGCTAGAGTTATAGGTGGTTGGTTGAGCTGCGTAACATGGATGCTGGGAGCTGAACTCAGGTCCTCTGCAAGGCAGAAAGAGTTCTTAACTGCTGAGCCATTTTTTTTTTTCCGTCTGTTTTGAAATAGCATTATTTTGAGATAGCATTATTCAGCTTTTCATACCTGGGACACAATTCTCTATACAATCATTTTGTTGTTGGGGTTTTTTGTTTTCTTTTTTTTTTTTTTTGACAGGGTTTCTCTATCTAGCCCTGGCTGTCCTGGAATTTGCTTTGTAGACCAGGCTGGACTTGAATTCAGAGGTCTGCCTGCCTCTGCCTCCTGAGTGCTAGGATCAAAGGCGAGAGTCACCACGCCTGGCTCATGGTTTCAGAACTTTCAGTTCATGGTCTGTTGGCCCTGATGCTTAGGACCTGTGTAGGCTCATTACATTCCAGCAGAAGCGCATGGCAGATGAGGCCTGTTCACCCGATGGTGGCCGGGAAGCAGAGAGGAAAAGCAAGGACTGAAAAAATCACCCTTTGTCATGCACTGCCCCTCCCCAGCACGGTGGGTTCTTCCGTGGGGTTGAGATGATGGATCAGGGGTCCTCCTCACCCCAGCAGTCTCCAGGCTGAAAGGCCTGTCTGGCTTTGGTACTGAGGCTCAGGAGGGACAGCCTAGGGTTGTTAGGATTGAGGTCATGTGCGGGACACCTTGCTGGGTAGGCAGTGACAGTGGGGGTCACGGGGTGTGGGCACTGATGACTCTGCCTGTCTTTCAGCCCTTCGGCCGCGGAGCAATGAGGGAGTGCTTCAGGACGTAAGTGACTTGGCCTGGGACAAGCTAAGACTGGGGCGTGGGTAGTGGTAATTTCCAACCAAAGGCTGGAGACAAGTGCTCTGGGCCTCCATGTTGCCCAAGTTCTCCATCCGGTGTCTGTTGGACCCCACACTGGCCCGGTGGTAGGGCTCTGGAGCATAGAGAATGGGATGGGAGGCCCGGACACTGGTCCTCAGCCCTTCTGGAGGGGTGGGGATGTTGCCTTTCCTCTACCCCTATATCCTGTTCTTCCTCCACCATGTCAGACAGGGCCTAGTTATTCCGAGATCTCAAGGTTGTGTCTGCGGTGAACTGCTGAGTTCTAGACAGGCTCCCCCTGGTCTTTCTTCCCCAGGAAGAAACTTTCCAACTTTTTACATGCCCAGCAATGGAAGGGGGCCTCCAACTACGTGGCAAAACGCTACCTCGAGCCGGTGGACAGGAGCGTGTACTTTGAGGACGTCCAACTCCAGATGGAGGCCAAGCTCTGGGGGGAGGAGTACAATCGGCACAAGCCCCCCAAGCAGGTGCGTGAGCCCCGCCTGTCTCCCTCCTGCACCGCTGGCTGGCTACGAGGGTGATGGTGAAACTCGGGGTGCTGGTCTGTGCCCAGGTGGGCAGTGTGCTCCCAGCGCAGTCCTCCCACCTGACCCTGCTCCCTGCTCTTCCCCCAGGTGGATATCATGCAGATGTGCATCATTGAGCTAAAGGACAGGCCAGGCCAGCCCCTCTTCCACCTGGAGCACTACATTGAGGGCAAGTACATCAAGTATAACTCCAACTCGGGCTTTGTCCGTGATGACAACCTCCGACTAACACCACAGGTGAGGCCCTGGGCTTGCTCTCCGCTCACACTTCCATCCTCCATCCCCTGGGGAAGGCTCAACCCTAGACGGGGAGATCCCTGTGGGTGGGGTCTCACATCCTCAGAGGCTCCTCACATCCATTGGAACATGAGTGAACCCAGGGCTCCAACATGCTAGGCACCTGCCCTACCACACAACAGTATCCCCAGCCCCTAAAAAAGACTGCCCCGCCCCTTTCCATGTGTTTGCCTGCCGTGTACATGTGTCGTGTGTGTCTGCATGTGTGTGCACCTGTGGGTGTGCCATATGATGTTGGGGATCATCCTCGATCACTCTTCTACCTTGTTCTTTGATTCAGGGTCTCTCAGTCAAACCCAGAGCTCACTGATCTGGCTAGTCTTTGTGGTCAGCTTGCTCTGAGGATCCCATCTCCACCGTCTAAAGCTGGACCTAAGGGTAGACCTCCATCTGCACCCAACATTTACCCAAGTTCTGGGGATCCAGGTTCCGGTCCTCATGTTTGCATGGCAAGTGGTTTAACCAGCAAGTCATCCCCCAAGATTTTTTTTTAAAGCAACATACCTGCCACCCTGTGCTGGTTTCTTTCAGCAGCCCTAAGATGGCCATAAACCTGTAATCCTGAGGTCTTTGCAGAGTTGAGCAGATCCTTCTTCTGTCTTTTACTCTATAAAACTCTTCTTGCAGAGAACGCCCTCACCAGGGCGGACCCGAGTATTACAGCCTGCGGCACAGCAGCAGGCCGGCATCTGCCTAGTCCACAATCTGGTCTGTTACAACTGCCTTCTCTTCCTGTCCCCTACACAGGCCTTCAGCCACTTCACATTTGAGCGTTCTGGTCACCAGCTGATTGTGGTGGACATCCAGGGTGTGGGCGACCTTTACACTGACCCACAGATCCACACTGAGAAAGGCACTGACTTTGGAGATGGGAACCTCGGTAAGTGGGGAGAGCCAGCCCAGGTCCACGGAGACCATGCTCCCCTAAAATCTGTTAGCTCTTTCTCCATCCAAGGGGAACACCCTGAGACACTGTTGGGCCTCCCTTGAGGTTATGGGGGTGGGAACTTGGTTTGTCTGATCTCCCACCCCTCCAGTTCAGCATTTTTTTTCCTGCCTGTTCTGGCCACATTTCCATGTCCCCCGTGTCCTTTGTCACTAAGCAAAAGTAAGACACCAGACACCCCTGTTCTGCCTGCAGGTGTCCGGGGAATGGCTCTCTTCTTCTATTCTCATGCCTGCAACCGGATTTGCAAGAGCATGGGCCTTGTGCCCTTTGACCTCTCGCCACGGGAGCAGGCTGTGGTGAACCAGAGCACCAAGCTGTTGGTGAGTACTCAGTGGCAATTCACTCCAACGGGGCCCGCCATTCTGCCACCACGAAGGCAGGCACTGCGTCCTGTGGGATGGCGTTGTCTTGGCTCTGGCCCGTTTGTGACCAGAGTGAGGAAAAGAGGCAGAAAGAGAAGTGACAGGAAGTGTGTGTCCCCATGTGCACTAACAAATGAGTGACTAGACCTGGCCCTCTGGGCCTGCCAAGTGTGTACAGTGGAACCAGCCAGCTCACTCTTCTCGCAAGAACCAAGTCAGGTGTCTATTGGCAAAAAACAGTTTTGACCTCTGGGTGTCATGGAGCAAGGCCAGCGCTTTAGGAAACACAGGCTAGTAGCCCCTTTGAGCTCCATCCACATACCCCTTCTTGGACACCATGGGGTTAATCCTGAACTGCTTTTTCAATAAGATTCTCTCTTAGGCATGTATAAAAGCCATGGGTGGAAAGGTTTCGGGGTCCAGAGGAACCCTCCATTCTCTACAGAGTGCTTTCATGACATGAATATTCCCATTGATGTCCCCAGCAATCAGCCAAGACCATCTTGAGGGGGACAGAGGAGAAGTGTGGGAGCCCCTGCATAAGGACGCTCCCTGGCAGCCGACCCCCCTTGCGCCTTCACCTTTCAGAGAACTCTGGGGATGAGAACATGAGCGACGTGACCTTTGACTCTCTGCCTTCCTCCCCCTCTTCAGCCACACCTCACAGCCAGAAACTGGACCACCTCCGTAAGTCCTGGGGGTTGTGACCACAGGGGCAGGCACCAGGTAGAGCAGAGCCAGACAGGTTTCATTCATGGTAGAAAATGGCTCTACTGGTGAGTGCAGAGGACAAACTCCCAAGATGCAGCCACCCAGTACATGAAAACCGTCTCTGTGGCAGACAAGGAGACAACCCACCCCAGTGTGGTTTGTGAAGCTAGGGAAGCCGGCATCTGACAGAACGCAGGAGAGAACATTCCATCTCCACGTCATTACAAGCACAGGGCACAGACTGCGAGTAAGCCAGTTATGGTGGTACCAGCCCGTGACTGAGACAGAGGCAGGGGAATCTCTTGAGTTTGGGGCCAGCCTGATTTACATAGCAAGTTCCAGGCCAGCCAGCGCTACCTAGTAAAGTCTCTCAAAAACTAAAACAGAACAGCCACACCTCCCATAACACAACCTTTGTAAAAAGTAAAGTACTAACAAATAAAATCTACTGGCCCATCATGGTCGAATCTGAGTCATTCTGCATTAGGAAACATGTTAATAGCAATAAGTCAAAGGGACGAAGCTGAGGCTGGAAGATGGCCCCCTGGATAGAGGCACGTGCCATAAAATACTTTTTAAAAATATTAAAAAGCTATTTAAAAGTGTAAAAGCTGTTTTTATGAACTGTGGGTACGTGGGTACGGGCTGGGGTTGAACACAGGGCCCTCACTCTTGCTTGGCCTGTTCTCTACCATTGAGATTTCCCCAGCCTGCATTGTAACAGACTTAATAACAATGTCAGCCTGCTGAGTATGGTGGCCACCTGCTTATTCCAGCCCTCGGGAGACTGAGGCAGGTAGATCTCTGTGGGTTCAAGACTAGCCTGGTCTACAGAGTGAGTTCCGCAACAGCCAGGGTTACATGAGCTCCTGTCTGAAACAACAGCAAAAAGGTTGGCCAGATGGGTCAGACTGCAGCTTGCCTAGGACGGGAGACAGACAGTTGGCTCGAAAGCCAGGTTGTGACGCACACTTTGGGCCCCACATGACCATGGCTTCTCTTCCATCATATCTGCACTTTGTTTAGAGCTGATGTGCTACTCCCCACATTGCATGTACATCTATCTATGCACGTGACAGAAACACAGATCCCATGGCTGTCAAGTGGTGGGCTTGGAAGGAGCTGAGAAAGAACTGTAGCTCTTTAGGGGCAATAATACCTTTTTCCTATGTGGTGCTTCTCTTTAAAAATTAAAAGTAGCTGGGCAGTAGTGGCGCATACCTTTAATCCCAGCACTGGGGAGGCAGAGGCAGGCGGATCTCTGCGAGTTCGAGGCCAGCCTGGTCTATAGAGCAAGTCCCAGGACAGCCAAGGTTACATAGAGAAACCCTGTCTCAAAACAATAAAACAACAAAACAACAAAAATAAATAAATAAAAAGTTTAAGTAAAATGCTAGACATGGTGGTGCACACCTGTAACCCCAGCACTTGGGAGGCTGAGGCAGGAGGATTGCCAGGAGTTGGGCTGCACAGTGAGGTTTGGTGCAGATGCCATGTGCTGTAGGCAGGCAGGCTACATGCGACTCTCAGGCGTGTCCTACATCACCTTTGCTTGTCCCTGCTCAGATTGGCCAGTGTTTGGTGACCTCGATAACATGGGCCCTAGAGACCACGACCGCATGGACAATCACCGGGTGAGTGGAGAGGGGGGAGGCTCCGCTGCCGTCCCCGGGGGGTGTGTGGGAGAGGGCTGTAGGGATGCTCCGGCTGCCATCTCCAGGCTTTAGGTTGATGGAGGCAGCCCCATCCAGGTCTGCTTTGAGCATCTCTCAGATTGCCCCCCAGGTTCAAGTTTTGGGCTGCTGTTTGGAACCATCATCTTGGCCAGCTGGTATTTTAAAGAGCTTTGATTTACTTCTCCCTTAGTTCTCAAGATGTATGAGATAGATTTTTCTTATTCCCTTTACAGCAGATTTTATTCTAGAACTAGATGGGGGCTGAGGATGTGCTTAGTTGGTAGAGAGAGTACTTGCCTAGAACGCATGAAGCCCTGAGTTCAACCCCCAGGACTACAGAAACGGGATATGGCGGTGTACACCTGTAACCCCAGCACTTGTGGAGGCAGAAGGATCATAAGTTCCAGGTCATCCTTGGTGACATAGTGAGTTTAAGGCCAGCCTGGGTTACATGAGCCCCTGTCTCAAAACGGAAACAGAGACAATCTAAGTAAATGAGGAAAGACTTATCTCACCCCGTTTCCTGGCTTCGGCCCTATGTTAATTGGCTTCTTTAGTGCTGTGTGATGAAGCTGAACACAAGGGCAGAAGGGTGTGGCGGAAGTTGCTCGCCTCACGGTGGCCAGCAAACAGGGGCAGCAAAGAAACCAGAGGGATAAAAGGTATTCAAAGGTGTGCTCCGGTGACCTGCTTCCTCTAACTAGGCCCCACATCCTAGTGCCCCATTCAGCTATGAACTCATCACTGGGTTACCACGGGTGAGGTTAGCAGTCTCACGATACATTCACCTCTCAACAGTACAACTAGCTGGGAACGTTTGGGGGTGCATTTTGTACCAAACTATAACAGTCCTTCAATGCAGGTGCTAGAATGGATGCCACAGCCAAGGAAACTAAAGCTCGGATAAGTTGAGCAATTGCCCAGGTCTTGACTGGCGAGTATCAAAGCCAGAGGTTGTGTCCAGGCATCCGGTTCCAGGGCCTGCGTTCTTTGCCACTGCTTTTGCCTGCTTTCCGGTCCCTCGACCAGCGGGAGGCAGGAAGAAGACTGTTGAATGAGGCGATGAAACGGGACAGGTGACTCCAGAAGTCATCACCCTCAGCTTGTCCTCTTTCTGCAGGACAGTGGGGACAGCGGCTGCCCAAGCGAGAAGCGAAGTGACCTGGATGATCCTGAGCCCCGAGAACACGTAATCACCCCCCCAGACCCTAAAACTAGAGACCTTGGTTGCCTCATCTGTTGTTATCCATTGGGATAAAACAGGCAAATTTGCTAACAGGCAGATCAGAGTTGGTCCTGAGAACAAAGAAGATTAAAAGCAAAACTTTTAACAACTGCGAACCAGACTTCAGAGAGCAGCAGATGCAGGGAAGAGAGTGAAGTGGACCGGGATGAGGAAGGGGAAGAGAGAGAGGCTTGGATATAAGATTGAAACTGACAAGCAGGCTGGACATGGTCACACACGGGAGAGGGCCAGCCTGGGCTAAGGATACCCTGTCTCTAAAAGAACAACCACCATAAAACAAACAAAAAACAAAGGCAAGAAAATGGTAAAGAAATCTTCGGGGCTGGAACGTTTGGTTGCTGAGCAGAGAGGATGCTGGGTCATAGGCTTCACTGATGCTGATGTAGCTGGAGGGTCCAAGGTACAACCCTGGCAGACCTGGGGAGTCTCAGCCCTGCTTCCTCAGTTTCCCTCCCAGCTGTCTCTGAGTGGAGGTGGCTTCCATACTCTCAGCCCCTCAGAGACTTCACCGTGCACCAAAATGGAACTTGTATGGTAAGGCCTGGTGCATGGAAGGCCCTGGTCTCATCTATATAATTATGAACATGAAGGATACAGGCGGAAGGTAAACCAGAGGAAGAACTAGCCACTATTTCTCCAGTGGCTTCATGCCAACTCCGGTACCCTGGAGTCAGTTCAGTCTGTTCATACAGACAGAGACCAGAAGACTTTGAACTCATCAGCTCTGCAGACGATGGCTCCAGCTTCACCTGGGGAGCGCTGGACTAGTGTCCTGGAGGAGGGACCCTGGGAGGGCTGGTCCTGCTCCCCAGGAATTGGCTTCTGCGAGGAAGGTCTTCCCCCTACAATCACTCATTTTCTGTTCCTTTGCAGGGCCACTCTAACAACAACCAAAGGCGGGAATCCGATGAGGACAGCCTGGGCAGCTATGGACGGGTATGTACCCATGGGAACAGGCCTGCCTCTTCCAACTCACGTGCTCTGCCCTCCTCCCGACACACTGCCTGCCCCCTCCACCTTGTGCATATCCATTTTGCAAAGAGTAATGTCCTGGGCAAGGTGGCAAGAGGTTCCTGGGGAGGGGAAAGAGATGGTCCTGGAAGAAGGAAGGTTCTTTCATATGCGAAACCTAGAGTCCTGGGCAACTTTCCCCCAGTTCCTGGGATACTCCAGGATGTGTTCCTTATTCAAAATGCTTGGGATTAGAAATGCTTTGGATTTCAGATTATTTCTCCATTTCCCCTTTTCATGTGTGTACATGCATGTGTGTGGCCATGCATGTGGAATCCAAGGTTGATATTGGGAAATACCCTTTATTGCTTTTATACCTTATTCTTCAAGGCATAGTCTCTCAGACAAACCCAGAGCTCACCGATCTGGCTAGTTTTACTAGTCAGCTTGCTGTGGGGCTCACATCTCTGCCTTGTAGGGCTGTAATTACAGGCAGACTGCCACTCCTGCCAGATTTCTGGGCACAGGAACTTCGCGCCTCATACTTGTACAGCAAATGTTTTAACCACTGAACCATCATCCCAATCTCACATTTTAGATTAAAAAATATATATATATATTTGGGGATACTTGGCATATACACAATTAGACAACTTGAGAGGAACCCAAACTCTAACCATGAGATTCATCGTGTATGTTTCATATATACTTAAAACGTGAGCTGGGTGTAATTTCACCCACTGTTTTTAGTGCCCTTGTCTTTTGGCCACTGTATGACAAGTGTCTCAGTGATGGCTGCTGTCAGGCATGTTTAGGAAAGGCCAGCCCTTCTGCACTTGTTGTTGTTAGATTCTCAAACACATTGTGAACATCACACTTCTCACTGTTTGCTAAGTTGAGTCCCTCCCGCCTGCAGAGTCCTTCCTCCCCCTAAAGCCTGTCCCCCATATCTGGAGGCCCGCGGCACCCTCTAACAGCTGCCCTCATTCCTTTTCCTCTGCTGATGGTCAGATGAAGCCTTCTCAGCCTGGAGCAGGACAGAGTTGCTTTCTCAGCTGAGTCACTGTTGGGGTGCTGGGCTGGGTCCTTCTCGCTTCAGGGCTGCAGGGCATTTAGCTGCCTGTGTTCCATGAAGTGCCCCGTGGATGGTGCTCACTTCATGTTGGGTGACTCACAGAGAAAGCAAGTGTGTTTGTGGGAGTCAGTCTTTGCAGGGGCCTGGCATGAGGAAGAGCCTAGGAGAAGGCTTGGCGCCACACCTCGGCTGCAGCTCTGGCCTGATGAATGGGGGGAGTGTTTCTCAGGGCCACTGTGGTCTCTTCTGCTGGTCATTGTGTCCTGTTGCTGCCCTCTATCCATACCCATGAGCTAGGGGCAATTGAATATGGGTTTGAGGGCAGCCTGGCCTACAGAGTGATTTCCAGGACAGTCAGGGCTACACAGAAACAAAACAAAACAAAACAAAAACAAAACAAAAGAAGAATAATGAATGAATGAATTGAAGCCCTGCAGGGTGGGGGTGCTTCCTTGTAACCCCAGCACTTTAGAGTCTGAGGAAGAAAGGTCATGAATGCAAGACAGCCTAAGCTACATAGTGAGTTCAAGGTCCATCTGGACTACATAACAAGGCTCTTGTTTAAATTGTCAGAAACAAGCCAAAAGAATTGGGGGCCAGTCTTGTTCAGTAAAGTTAGATGCCGTTTGGGGTTCCTTCCCCTTGCCAGCCAACCTGTGTTTTCATGGGGGCTTGCTGCTTGTGCCAGCCCATCTGGTCCCAGCCACTCACTTCTGACCTTTAAACTCTTTCCACCTGGTCTCTCCCATCAGGTCTGTGTGGAGACGTGGAACCTGCTCAATCCCTCCCGCCTGCACCTGCCGAGGCCCTCAGCTGTGGCCCTTGAAGTGCAAAGGCTAAATGCTTTGAACCTTGAAAGGAAAATCGGGAAGTCTGTTTTGGGGAAGGTATGGGTGATGCCCGTTCCAGAGCCCAGGACTCACTCCTCTTCTCCACTAATTGCTTCTTCTTGCAGGCTGGCTGGGCTGCCCCTGGGCATGGCTTGGGCCTCCCAGGCAGCCAGACCAACACTGCAGTCTCTGTGGCAGGTCCATCTGGCCATGGTACGATACCACGAGGGCGGGCGCTTCTGCGAGAAGAATGAGGAATGGGACCGAGAGTCAGCCATCTTCCATCTGGAGCATGCAGCTGACCTGGGAGAACTGGAGGCCATCGTGGGCCTGGGGCTCATGTACTCTCAGCTGCCCCACCACATCCTGGCTGATGTCTCTCTGAAGGTGAGGGGATGTGTGGAGGGCTCGGGCAGCCCGTCACTTACTGCCCCCAGCCTGGTGGTCGCCTACTGGGGGATTTGTTTTGTTTGTTTTTTCAAGACAGGGCCTGACTATGTAAGCTCTGTCCTAGAACTCACTGTAGACCAGGCGGGCCTTAACTCACAAAGATCTACCTGCCTGTCCCTCCTGAGTGCTGGGATTCTAAGTGTGGGCCACTGTGCCCAGCTTCAACTGTGGAGGACACTTGTGGGCAGACAGGCATGGAGGCTCACACTTGTAATCCCAGAACTCAGGAGGCTGAGGCTGGAAGATGATGAGTTTGAGGCTAGCCTGGGCTATAGAGTGAGATCCAGGACAGCCAGAGCTGCACAGAGAAACTCTGTCTCAAAAAAAAAAAAAAAAAAAAATCTGATTTTTGGTTTGGGATTAATCACTTCTGAGGTAGACTTGATCTCCATCGTTGGTCGGTAAGTGGGAGGTGACAAGTCCCAGGTCCAGGGAATCAATGACAGGATATGCAAGGAGAAGCAAGTCCTGGAGGAAATAAATGAGGAAGAGCCCTCCAGGAGGCTTTGATGGGTCTATATGACCCTCTCCATCGACCATGCTTCAGGCCACAGTGCTACAGCCGCAGCAGAGCCTGGCACTCAGGAGCTTCTCATTCATGCAGGGATGGATGGACAAAGCGGGGCTGGCCATGTGAGACAGAAAGGCCGGGTGGGAATGAGCCAGGCCAAGTGCGGGAGGTGAGCTGTGCTCTTAGAGAAACCGTACACACTCAAGCTTAGAGTTGAGAAGCAAAATGGCGACAGGTCATTGGCGCTGGAATGTGGGGGTGAGGCGGTACAGGAGCTGGGGCTGAAGAGTCAGCCAGCTGGGAGCTGAAGCAGTGAGATGGTGACGTGGCAGAAAAGGTATCTATCGGATTTACCCCCTCCCTCCTTTCCTGGGCCTTGGGCGCAGGAGGAAAGAGGTGGATGGGCAGGGCCTACAAAAGCTTAGGAATATGGTTTCCAGGGGACAGAGCCTGAAAAGCTTCCTGGGAGAGAGATTGAGAGGCCTTGGTGGGTGTGTCTGCCCTTATCTGTGGCCATCTGTCCTATCTGGTGGCGGAGGCTGTGACTAGACAGGAACCTGGACAAAGCTGAACTCAACACAGGCCCGGGGCATAGCCCTCTTCAGAGCTGTGTGTGGCCAGAGACAGGGTGGATCCCAGCCTAGCAGAGGAGGGAGAAATGTGCTGGAGACCTTGGTTTCAAATTTTGAACAGGTAATGGATGTATTATTTTAAGTGTTCATGTGCACGTGGTAAATATTAGCGCTCATGCACATCCCAACAATGTGCATGGAGATAAGAGAACTTGTGGGAATAGCTTCTCCCTACCATGTGAGTCCCGAGGGTCAAACTCAGACTGTCAGGATTGAGGCCAGGTTCCTTTGCCTGCTGGGCCATCTTGCTGGCCCCTATTAATTTTAATATAAAAACGTTTACAGTAGCTGGGCGGTGGTGGCACATGCCTTTAATCCCAGCAAATGGGAGGCAGAGGCAGGCGGATCTCTGAGTTCAAGGCTAACCTGGTCTACATGGCAAGTTCCATTATAGCTAGGGATGTTACATAGAGAAACCCTGTCTCTCCCCCCCACAAAAAAAAAATTGACAGCAAAAAATATCTCTCCTACCTTTTCCTTCCATATTCATGACCCCCTCCTTTTCACCCTTCCCTTCTTCCTTCTCATATTCTTCATCCTTTCTCTCCTTTGCTGAGGGTAAAATCCAGGACTTTGCACATGCTAGACAAACTCTACCACTGAGCCACACCACCAGGGCCGTCTTCTCACTTTCTAAATAGTAAATTAACTATTTTCCCAGCTACTCAGATATAATTTCAGAAGTGTACCAGTTACCTGAGACCCTCATAACAAATTACCACACCCTGGTAAATTACCATGTGCTTCTTCTGGAGGCTCTGGGGAGAATCCTTGTCTCTTACAGTCTCAAAAAAAAAAAAAACAAAAAACAAAAAAACCCACCCATATGCAAAGCCAGGCATGGTGCTGTGCCCTGTCATCCCAGTACCCAGAAGGCTGTGGCAGAAGGATTGTGAATTCCAGGTCAGCCTGAGCTGCATGGTACGACCCTGTCTGAAACAGCCGTGTATCCCCACATATTCATCTGCATGTATGTACATGAATGTCACAGCAGCATTGCTCTCCCATCAGTGGATGAGTGGATAAAGACAATGAGATGGAGCAGTGTTTGATCCGGAGAGAATGAAGTCCAGGTATATGCTGCAACCCATGTGACAGAAGCCAGGCACAAAAAGCCACACGATACATCATTCTATTCTATATATATGACACACTCAGAGTCCACCACATGTTATATCATTCTGTTTCATATGTGTGACACACACAGTTCACCTCATGTTATATCATTCTGTTCCATATGTGTGACACACACAGAGTTCACCACATGTTATATCATTCTGTTCCATATGTGTGACACACACCGAGTCCACCACATGTTATACCATTCTGTTTCATATGTGTGACACACCCAGAGTCCACAGAGACAGAAAGTGGACGGGTCATTGCCTGTGGCTGGGGTAGGATGGAGAGAAAAGGATAGAGGGAAAATTTGTGATTTGTGGGGTATGGTGTTTCTTTTTTGGATTGGTTAAGATATTTTGAAATTGGACCAGCAGATCACTCAGTGGGTAGAGGCACTGGCGCAAACCCTGACAACCTGAGTTCAGTCCTTGGGTCCCACGTGGTGGAAGGAAAGAACCAACTCTCACAATTGTCTTCTGACCTTCACGCATGCACTGTGGCACATGCAAACTCACACACAATAAATGAGTAAACATAATACACATGTAGGGTTTTTTGTTTTGTGTTGTTTGAGACAGGGTTTCTCTGTGTAGCCCTGGCTGTCCTGGAACTCGCTCTGTACACCAGGCTGGCTCCAAACTCAGAGGTTTCCTCCCTCTGCCTCTTGAGTGCTGGAATTAAAGGTATATGCCCCACCACACCTGGCAAAAGTTTAGTTTCTTAAATCCACGGTGGGGTTAGCGGAACAAGTTTATCATACACTAAACGCCATGGACATGAGCTTTCCAGCCCAGAACTCTCGAAACTTAAACTGGAGGTTGACGAGGGAGCCTTTGCAGTCTCCCCCACACACTCATTTGCTGTTTGTGCCTTTTCTCTGTGACAGGAGACAGAAGAGAACAAGACAAAAGGCTTTGATTACTTGCTGAAGGCGGCAGAAGCTGGTGACAGGCATTCCATGATCCTAGTGGCCCGAGCTTTTGACACCGGCCTGAACCTCAGCCCAGACAGGTAGTATGGCTGTCACCTGGTTGATGGTGGGGTAATCTGGGCCACACAGGTTGCTTTTTCTTTGGTTTGGGACAGACATGGGTTCTAGCCTTGGCTCTGCTTGTTATCAACTCAGGGATCTTCAGCAAGTTACTTTACCTCCCTGGCCTCAGTTTCTTCATTTGGTGAAATAGGAATAATGATAGTATCTGTCTCTAATGATGCGCCATGAAGATCAAATACCTTGCCCCACAGTGCCTCATACATAAAGTGTGCAATGGATGGCAGCCATTTTGCCAGCATATGTAAAGACTTGCTTGGGGAAAAAAACCTGAAAATCAGTGTGATTGTCCATAGAGAGTAGAATTTGGGGTGATCTTGACTGCCTTTTCCTCCTCTTGTTTTGATTTGTATTCTTTTTTTTTTTTCCTTTTATTTTATTTTACAATACCATTCAGTTCTACATATCAGACACTGTGGGAGCCCGTTCTGGGGTTCCTCGTGGCTTTACCCAGCAGGTCCGAATAGAGGATGATCAGGACCACGGGCCTGAGTGCAGGTGTCTGAGATGGCCTGCACTTGGCTGTGCTGGGGGAGGAGGTCTTTTGCTCCATCCCTTGAAATCTCTATAAAAACCCTGGACCAGAGACAGTTCGGGCCCGTTGGAATAGGTTCCAGGCCCTCTCGAGGCTATCCTTTATTTTCTATCTGTTTATCTC